GATTGAGATTGATGCCGGCGCTTTTCAACCCACCTGTGTTGGAACTGCAATTTCAAATGGCTCTCAAGCTACGGATCATAAAACATAAATCATCCGCCAGCTGCACTGCGTGCGTGCAACCATTTTTCTGCCGCACATATCTGAATCATCAGCGGCAGACTGCTACACTCCTGCAGAGCAAGTGAGCATTCCTCCCCCCCGGCTGTGATTGGCTGTCGCTGTGGTGTTGATGTTTGAAACTCTGATCATCTCACAGTCAAAACAACAACCGCGCTTTGAAGAGCCCCGGTTCATTTAGGCGTGCGATCAGTGGCGTCTGTTGCATGGCTTACGTATGACTATAAGGCCAAACAGCTCTCTATATGGGACACAGTAGAACTCTGATGAATTCCTCGGAACTTATACCGGTGCTGGCGGTATGCAAACAAGAAACGAAGTTGCTTTTCAATCCACTGAAAATCCTGAATATTTACATACCGTCCCAGAAACGTGAAAGCGCAAAGAGAGGAGCGCTATTGTTTCTCGCGTCTGATTTGCTTATTTTATGAACCCTTTGTAGACTTGGCAGAGCGCCTTCCACAACATTGCCTGGTCATGTGACCTTGTAGCAATAAACTCGATCGACGGTTGGGATATGACCGAGAATATCCGCAGTTTAGGCCCGTTCCATGATTAGGAGGCTAAAATGCGCGATGATGAGCAAGTTCACGTGTCGATGTTAGCTAATTTGCACATTGATTAGGTGACATGTTATTGAGTCCCCAATTGAACGACAGGATGATCGGTAGAAAACTCTCGCATGAAAATATGCGCAGCCCTACTCAGAGGCACACTTTTGGACAGTTGCCATATTTTTCAATTGCTCTTTGCCAGTTATTTGTTGATATGCAGACCACATTCCATCGTGATCAAACTGGTACCCCCATATTGACAACAGAATCCCCCAAAAGGATGTACGGAACCAAACAAAACAGCAGCCGACCTGGCTTGACTGGCACCAAGCCCTGAACAATGACCCACGCTGACGCTTTCATTCACCACGGGCTCAAATGTGACACAAAACGTTGGCTTTCCCTTTAGCAACCAAGAGAAACTGCTCCGGTGTCTTTCGTGTTCCTCTCACTCATTGTCAGTTAAAAAAAACAAAACAAAAATCTGCTTTGTAAGAACTTCACAAGAATGGACTCTTGCAACATTAACAGTATTAATGATTCGTCAGCTGCTGGCACAGTCACTGGAGATAGAATTTTGTCAAGGCCAGTTTAATCTTACCGTTGTAATACTGAGGCAGTAGCCTGGTGAGAAGATTTAATTTTTTTGTTATATATAGCAGATTAATTTAATCCCTGAGATGTGGTTGCAATGCCTCAGCTGTATCGCAGCTCGACTTTAAGAGTATCTACCCCATTGAGTTCAAGCCCACATGCACTCGCCGTGATTGTCAGTTTGTCATTTGGAAGCTGTCATAATCAGTCCAAAATGTTGGGAAACGAGTGCTGCATCTACGATTATGTTAGAACTCTTATCACGTGCATAGTGATACATCCCGCTTCTTCGCTCGGCCTCAGGTCGGTGTACTTGCTTCCTGTATTTGACTCAGCAGTCAGTTGTTTGGTTACCTAAGGCGGTGCGTTCCCGTAAGTTCTCCCGTTTGTTTTGATAGCGTCAGCCAGTTGAGCTTATTTTGTTTTTAAACTGGAACGTACTGTTCAGATGAATCTTAACATGAACATTCTTGGGCCAAGAGCAAATAAATGAAGAAACCATCTTAACATGTCATAAACTACGAATGTGGTAACTCGTTAATCAGATGGATAATATTCAACAAGGATCAGGAGTCGACAGCTAACTTTAAATAAATTATTACGGATGACGGTACAAAAATTGACTCAACTGTGGCCCAAAATCCAAGGTACACACACTATCGTGGGTTCCCTCCATCCACCCCTATTTTCTAGGAGCTAATCAACCAGACTTCCAAGCGTGCTGGTCTTACATCAAAATATTACCGGTTGCCTATTGGTCACGGAGAATTGGCATCGCTGAAATTCAGAGAGATGTGGATATTTGTTCTGGCTTATTTGGTTACGCTCATACTGCACATACCTGCAGTGCCCTGCGTCAAATATTGACTTGCTCAGTACAAGATCATTTTGGCCCTGGTACATTACCTTCAGTGCGGAGAGGAGTTGGCTTTTCTGCAGGCCCCCCCCCCCCCCCCCGCCTCCGCCTCCTTCCACTGTTTTCTCACCCTCAACCCTCCCTTCCCCTCGCCGTCTTGTCTCTCCTCCACTCTCCAAATATTAACAGGGTCATTTGAATGTCCTACATTGCTGGGAAGTTTTGATGATGTCAGCTGCTCTGCTGTACCTGGAATCCCGAGTAAAGTCAATCCAACCGTGAGCGTAGAGCATTCGTCATGGTAACTAACCAACAATGGTGGTGAGCAAACAGGAGTAGGAAATGGTTGGTTTTGTCGTCATTCTCGTGAACGGCGCTGTTTATGGCTCCCTCGCCGGCTGCGTTTCTCCTGATGACTCACTCACTGATTGGCATTATCAATGGGGAAGTGGGGGGGGGGGGCTTTTATCTGCATCCTAAGGGATCAGACCATTTTGGTTGTGTCATCCACTCTGGGGCTGTGGAAGACGACGCCTGCTTGTTGCTAGTTGCTAAGGAAACATGACCCCCCCACCCCCCACCCCACCGCGTCACTTATCTACTTGAAGATGAAAAGGGGAGGGATAAAGCCACTTAAGGCTGTGTCACATTTGCCCTTTCTTGCGGCGCAGTTATAAAGGCAACCCCAATACTTTTGTTTCTGCCTAATAGCATTGGCCGCCTTGCATACCCGCTCCCGTGAATCCTTTTGTATGTGTGACCTGGCTGACCTGATGTGTTCCCATCGTGGGCCCTCCCCCCTCCGCAGCATACCGAGAATAGAAAACATTTAACAGCTCGACCCGGGTTTCTCAGGGAAAATGACGAAACACGATGCACCACTTCTCCATAGCAACGAAATATTATAAACCGGGGCCTGATGCAGCATGGCACTACACTGCTTTTACTTAAGCCTTATCAAAGCTGCCAGTCCTACCGTGTGATCAGATGACATCTGAGAGCATATTCCTGTGTTGGTTCCAAAGCCTCTTAAGCATTAGATTAGACTAGATTCTGTTTTATTGTCAGGCCACGCCACTATTAAATGCAGTCTTACCGGAAGTGTACAAAGCTTTTAAAATGCTAAGAAATGTAAACAGAAAGACTTTTTTTTTTAAACGAGTGTCACAGCAGTGCAGTGTGAAATAAATGCCTACATATGCATCCGTCAGTAGTTGCATAACTATAACGTGCGTGTGTGTATGCCACTGCTCATGCTTATAGTCACAGTCCATACATTTTTTTTTTTTTATATATCGGGCCCACTGTAGGCTTGTTGTGTCGCATTATGGATCACTTTGGATGGCCCCTCACTGACACCTCTCTCGGCACCCCTGTATTTTTGGATACGTGGCAAGTGCAAAGGAAATTTACCAGACCATGTTGGAATGTGATCAGTTAACCAGTCATTGTCTTTAGACATGGTAAAGCAGAATGTGGCTCACTAGCTGAGGTTATAAAAAAAAATAGTGCAAGAAACATTTGAATAAAAACACAGGCTGTTAGCTACCGTGATACTGTGCCTTAGCTCCTGGCGATGCAGTGAACCGCCGTTATTTGCAAAGGGGCACGGTCTTAGCCCTGCTGAAATAGCAATATATGGCAAATAATTGACTTGCACCCGAATAGGTTCGTGGTTGCCTAGAGATACCTCAAGATGGCAGCAAAGCACCCTCTTCTATTAGACAAGACTATGGCGTGAAGAAAGGAAGTTCTTTACCCTCACTTCAGCGTGGTTCCTTGGCCCCAGGATGCCACCAGATTTTATGCGTGGATTCACTGTACTCCACAGTCTCCACTTTGCTTCAGTGGCCCTCATTGTCTTCTCAAATATATATATTTTTAATTGAAATTTTTTTCCCTCCTTATCACGGCCCACAACCTGATGCAGTGACACAACAACTGATGTTCTTTGTTAGCGCGTCTCTTTCAAACTGATGCGTTCAATTCCACTATTGAAGCAGAAAAACAGCTACCCCCAAATCGAGACACTAGGCCTTAGCCAAGCCGGGGAAATCGTCACAGTGGTGTCAACACTAGTTAGCGGATGCATGGCACTGGGTGAAATGGAATTTTGGAAGCTGGCCTCTGATTTCTGTGTTGACACAGAGGAATGCGCGCCGGCCTGCCGATACTGCTATCAGTGAAGCAAGACACACACACACACACACAGAAATAAGATGCTTCCACATTGAACACCGGGTTCTTATGCTTCTGTAGTAGTACCTCGAGTTTTAGAGGTTACCAAGCAAGTATCAGCTAGCGTGGCAAAGAAGCCAAGGTGTTTTAATTTCATTTTTATTCCCCCTTTCCAGTTGAAGTTTAAACATAAAGTTACCAAGCCACATCATCTAGAAAATTCAGCTAGCTTAATTTTAACTCACGATTCAAAATTCCACAGACACGGTAGCCAAACTAGCATCAATATTGTGGTAGTTATAATGCGCGAGGCAGTGGATATTTGTACACAAATCAGTGTGGAAACATGTATGTATTATAAATAAATAAAATTGATTATACTCCTGGTGGCCAAGGCGCACACGAGAAGGATCACCATGTCATTAGCCATTGAAGCATGAACTCATCATGCACCAACCACTTAATACTTTACTGAAGAGAAGCTGTTTTTCTAAAAAAACAAAACAAAAAACCCCCACACACATTACTGTTGATTATTGGGCTGGAACGGATTCATGAAATTGCCATTCATTTCAGTCAGGAACGATGATTTGAGACAGGAGTGTTTTGATGGTGGTCAAGGAACAACTCAACTGAAAGGCACCACCGGATTGTATGTGAACGTTTTGTCTAATCTCGCCTCTCTCTCTCTTTGCCCTCAGATGTTCCTGACTGTTTACCTCAGTAACAATGATCAGCATTTTACTGAGGTTCCCATCACTCCGGATACGCTATGTCGGGATGTGGTGGACTTGTGCAAGGAGGCGGGCGAGACCGACTGTCACCTGTCAGAAACGTGGCGCGGATCCGGTGAGCGTTA